ACTACTAACTACTACTAACTACTAACTACTACTACTACTACTACTGCTACTACTACTACTACTATCATCCCCTTTTCATGGTATCGGCCTTAGTGTTCGAGCGACCTATTGGTGTCTTGAACGTGACTCTCGAAAGTTTTTGACATGCGGCGGGGCGACTTCGTGTCTCAAACATGGCAACAGTACCCGGCACGTAGTCGTGATCCGCATGAGTGCCCATGTATTTGCAGGGCCAGGCTGCGGACATTGGTCGGAACACAACCGGCAAAACCAGAGGGGGGCATGCACGAGGCGACGTCAATGCAATGATCTGCGTGACAGCCAGTGCTCTGCACAGGGGCGAATCGTGCCAGAGTGCGGGCTGTACCAGGGGGAACAGGGGTTCGTGTCTAGGGGAAAATGGGAGCTTCGCCAGAACCTCTGGTGTCCCAGGGACTCCACTATCCCTTAATTAAGGAATATACCTCAAATCTTACTAGGGTTCCTATTATATTTTGAAGTATATTCCTTAACTAAGGGATATTGGAGTCTCTGGGAGTGTCGCAACAGTCACCAAAGCTGACAGCTGCAAACCCCGAACTCCGACTCGATCCGCAGCCTTCCTTCCCCAGAGAGCCCAATTCCCCCTTAATGAAGGAATGTACTTTAAATTACAGGGACCTTACTCTTATATGGTTTAAGGTATATTCCGTAATTAAGGAATGTAGCTTAAATTATAGGGACCTTGGTTTAAGGTATATTCCGTAATTAAGGGGCATTGGGCTCTCCGGGTTCTAGCCTAGATGAACTGAGACGTTGCATTTGTTGCGGCAACTGACCTGACCCCAGACTTGGACGACACCAACGCGTGGTCGGAGAACGAAAGAGCCCAAAATCCGATAAGGCCACGCTGAGGGTGGAACACCTGCGCAACCCTTCTCTGAGGCGAGTCCTAAAGCCTTGAAACCCCCAAGCCTCCAACCCCACACGCTGAAAACCACCCAAACCCTAAAACTGCAAACCTGAAACCCGAAAGCCTAAGCCCCAAATCCCAAAAGAAATCTCTAAAAGCTTACAATCCTCAAAAAATCCTAAACCCTCCATCTAAGGAAGGGTGATCGGCTGACGCAATATAACCTGCTCAACATCCAGCAGAATGGGAGCCTTGTGCTCATGTCCGGGCTTAAGGGCTTCACCCTGAACCTCAAAGGACCTTTTTGGTTGTTTAGGGTTTAGGGTTTAGGGTTTTTCCTTAGAGGTGTATGTTTTTCGGGGTTCAGGTAGGATTTGTTCTCTGTTTTGACGATTTGTTTGCGGGCTTGTTTTGGGTGTAAGGGTTAAGAATTATGGGGTCTTGAGGATTTGCATTAAAGGCTTTGAGGATTTAGGGTTCAGGGTCTTGGGCTATGCTTCCGGATGTTGATGCCTTCGATGGCATGGGAGGTTAGGGTTTGGAGTTTAGGGTCTAGGGTTTAGGGTTTAGGGTTTAGGGGGCAGTTTCCGACTCCCCACTTCAGGCAGCGCAGATTCACGGGTCAAGGGATGCTGGGGTCCTTCGCTTTAGAGTTTCGGGTGCAGGGTTTTGGGCTTTACGAACTGAGAGCTCGGTACATCCACATCGCAACCTGCTTGCTCTCAGTCGGCAAACACTCTCTCGAAACTTTCGAGACATTCTTCGCCAATGGAGAGTCGAAAGTGCGGAGTCGAGAGTTTCGAGTTTAGAGTTCGGAGTTCGAAGTTGCGGGTTCTAGGTTAGGGCTAGAAGGGCTGTGATGTTTTGAATACATCTATTCACGGTTCGTTACGTGACATTCTTTCAGCACGTGCTATACGTGCTTTGTTGTTAGGCTGCCTATAATTATTTTGTTGTTCGTTTTCTGCATCTTGTTGTCCACTATAGCATTGCAGCATTGAAGCCCGAAGCGTTCCGGCCTACGACTTCAGGAATTCCACAGAGATGGTGTTGGTGGCAGCACCTCGGCAGCTGTTGAGTTAGGTGGAATAGCGCCTAGGCGAAAGTATCCTGCGGTGATGTGGTTCCGAGTGCATCATACTGTACCGCTTCAGGGTCAAGCTTCGACGTCGAATTCTTTTCTGCGCTTTCATCCCGTCCCAAGCTGTTCGCGCGAACGACAGCATCCCCACCACGGCTACAATCGTTACCGCTACTGCTGCTACAACTGCCTGCTGCTCCTGCTGCTGCTACTTCCAATCCTCCTCCTGCTGAGCGGCTGCGACTGCTACTGCGGCTGCTGCTAGCAGTCCTGCTGTTGCTGCCTTGAAAATCTTCTTCTTGTCGTTGCGTTGCTTGATGCAGCAATTACGATTGTTATTAGATGGCCAAATCAAGCAACTGGTCCTGACCACGGAAAGCCTACCTGATAATTTAAGAGTGTTTAACTTAGTCTAACTCTCCAAGCTCTAGCGAGACCCCCCCCATGGATCGGCAAGACAGGCAGATGGCACAAAAGCCTGAAGAACTCCCAGTACCAAACCCTAAACCCTAAACCCTAAACTCCTAAACTCCTAAGCCCTAAACCCTAAACCCCAAACCTTAAACCTTAAACCCTAAACCCTAAACTTTATCACAATTACAGTATAATCGACCCGAAAGCCCTATTCGCACCGTAAGCCCTCAACACCAGGAGCTGGAACCTCCGATCTGCTTAGCTTAACTTGGCCTTCGACAAACTTGGTAGCTGGCCGCCGAAAAAGGCTAGGGTTTTGGGAGCCTAGGGCTTAGGGCTTAGAGTTTAGGGCTTAGGGTCTAGGGTCGAGGGCTCAGGCTCTGAATCATCCTATTTCTTCGACTCTCCATACGCCATTCGCCCAAGTGCACCAAGACAAACGCCCATCTGACGCAGGTCTTCAGTGCTTCCACGAGGAGTTTCGCCTTTAAGCAGATGCCGGCGCCATGGATTGCTTTAGGAGCTTTTTGTGTGTGTGTGTGTGTGTTTGTGTGCGTGTGTGTGGATGTGTTGGTGGGTGAGTGGGCTCTCACAACCGCTGATGAAACAAATCCTGCATTACCCATAATTAGGAATATACCATAGTTCCCATAGATTAGGATCCTTAAGGCAATGCAGGGTTTATATCATCAACAGTAGTAACACAGACATTCCTTGCAAAAAGTTGGGGCAAACGGCGAAGATTGAAAATTCGAGGCTGAGGCTTTGCCTGTGTCATGTCCATCTTGCTGCCTCAGCCCCCTTACAGGCTTGCATAGGTCCTTAGTTAGTTCTCAAGGTTTAGAACTATGGCTTTCTGGTCTGAGTGTTTAAGTTTTGAGTACTTGACTGGCTGCAATCGCTTCTTGTTGCACTCGTAGTGAGTTCAATGCCTGAAACAGCGGCTTACAGGAGATGCGAGTGCAATATCTCATCTAGCTCTTGCTGACTATTCAAGGCTCATTTCAAGGTCAGAAGGAAGATCTTCGTAGTTTTGCTCTACAGTTGGGTCACTTGTCTCTGAAGCACTCAATCCATGAATGAATTCTTGGTGAAAGTCTTCGCTAGCCGCCGTCGGGCAGGTCCGAACCTGCTATTCGTGTCCCTCTCAACGTTTGTCCTGTCTTCCGTTTGGCAATTGTACTTTTGGTTTAGGGTTTAGGGTTTATTTTTTTCTGTCGTTTCGCCAATCCCGTCTTCCGCCCTTAACCAGTGCGGTAAACAGATAGTGCTGAGGTGTGGATGGACGGTAACCGTTCGGAAGAGCCAATCCACCTCTTCGATTGCGACCCAGGCAGGGTTCACAGAAGTTCCCACAAAGCCCCAAAGCCACCTTAAGCAAAGGGGCGACAAAGGTATGAAGAGCTCTTGACCCTAAACCCTAAACCCTAAACCGGGGATGTGGAAGAGCTCTTGCGGTGAATCTCTAAGTTTCCGTCCAGGGTCACTAAGAATCCTTACGAGGCCGACGCCTCTTGCCAACAATGGCATCGCCGTGCCTACGATTGCGAAGCGTTCGCACCCAATATAGGGGCTTTAATAGTTATAAGAGATATGTTCTACTATTATAGTTAAAATAAGGAGCCCCAAAATAGTAATTATGGATAATTATAGGCCCTATGTCGGTGTTTGTGATGGCCTTAACAAAAAGCCAACAAAGTCAGAAGCAACGATCAATTTCATTCATGTCGGGCTCAATACAGAAGCCTTGGAGATAGTCTCCGGTATTTCCTTGTAGCTTTCTGCCCAAGCCCGTAACCAGCGCAAAAAGCTAAAAGCCTGGAACCTAAACCCCAATCTCCCGTAATTTCCAGCTTGGACCCTGGCACGTGTCAGGCTTCTACCAGGAGGACGACTCCAAGCTATGCAGGAAGTGCCCTCGCGGGATGCAGTGCGCTGGAGGTGCCCACGGCCTGTCAGCGTAATGCCTTAACCTGCCTTACCCCTCCTTATGCTATACTATACTTGCTATACCATACTATACCAACTTATACTATACTGTGCTATACTATACTGTACCAATACTGTACGAGGACTATACTATAATATCGTACAGTATAATACAATACGATGTCATGGTATGCTATGCTGTACTATACCTGTCTATACATATCATGCAGCAAAGAAGGCTCTCAACCCTAAACCCTGTCTGTCCTTGCATGCCAGGACTCGACACTTTTCAGCCCTGCCGACCAGGCCGGACAGTCGCCAGGGGAAAGCTCTAAACACCACTGAGCATCTGCAGGACTCGTAGTACTTAAAGGATCATGGGACTTAGTAAGTAGGGTTATAAGTAAGGTAACTATACTTATAACCCCAATTAGGGGACTTATAACCTTACTTACTAAGTCCCATGATCCTCCAAGTAGTCCCTTCGTGAACCCCAAGCGTCTGGCGCGGTTTATGCGCGTGCCGCTTCGTCGTGTAGGGTTCTGCGTCCCTCAACAACTGTCAACCTGAGACAAGTGGCAAGCCCCTAAGCCCTAAGCCTAAGCCCTGGACCCTAAACCCTACACCCTTTCGCCAGGAACCTTTGCCAACGCAACGGGCATGCAGCAGTGTATGCCATGTCCGCAGGCCTCTCGTGTGTTGGGGAGTGGAGCAAAGGCCTCAGGACTGGAGCGTGGCTTTGGAGGGCTTTTCTGGTTTAGGATTTAGGGTTTGTTTGGGGTTGGTGCTGCTTTGGGTTCAGGGTTAAGGGTACAAGGCTTGGGCCGTTTCTTGAGTTTTGTCGTCTTCTCGGCTCTTTGTCTCGATGCAGCTCCATTGGCAGAGTCTGGGGATGTCCAGTGCCAAGTCGCAGGACGATCCTCGCCATCTGTTATTGTCTGGCAAATACGCAAATCAGATCAATAAATGCAGAATTGAGCATATACTGCAGTTATATATATATATATATACACACACACATACATACATACATACATATATATATATACACACACAGGTGTTTGTGTGCCTGCCCTGACTTGACCTGCATTGGCGTTATTGGTTTATTTGGACCTTCCATGGTTTCGGGATTCTGGACCCCTAGAACCTTGGGACCAGTCATGGTCTTGGGATTCTTTGGGTGCGAAAGTGCAGAGATGCCCGAATGTATTTGGGATGTGGGGGCCCGCAAGATTGAGGGGTCTCATGGTTTCGCGACTCTGGGGCTGCGAGAGTGCATTGGTTTTATTGGTTTGATTGGGACTTTCCATGGCTTCAAAAAAAGTTGGGACCTCTCAACACTTTCGCGCCCAAAAAGTCAGTTGGCAAACGAGAAAAGTATTTATTATGAGACGAAAGCCGACTACGCACCACTTTTTTATGGTGTCGCGTGCTACTACATGTCCTCAACCGATTCCGCGGGCCGAGTATATGATCAGAAATCAGCATCGTAAATACTACGAAACCCGAAAGGGCCACATAGACCCTTGCAGAACCCTGCTTCAAATCCTTGGTGGAACCCGTTGAGGGAACCCTTAAAGCCACGCCTGCAGCCTAAGCCTTACCCGAATACTATACCCGAAACTTCAAATTCCAAACCTTCTAACCGCGGGTTTAGGGGTTTAGGGGTTTAGGGTTTACGGTTTAGAGTTTAGCCCAAACATTGAGCCCGAAGAGAAAGAACGGAACGCCAAACATACACGCGCACACGAAGCAACAATCCCCAAACCGTAAGCCCTACATGCTAAACCCTGGACCCCTAAACCCCAGACCCCAAATGCTAAACCCTAAACTGTAAACTCCTAAACTCCGAAACCCTGAACCCCCTAAACGCTAAACCCTGAACCCAGAGAGCCCAAGACCCTTTAATTCAGGAACATACCTTGAATTATAGGGGCCTTAACAAAATGGGTTAAGGTATATTCTTAAATTTAAGGGTATTAGGCTCTCTGGGGGAAGCCACCTAAACCCTAAACCCTAAACCCTCAACCCTAAACCCTAAACCCTAAACCCCCAAGTGGAGCTCCGCAGGGCTCGTTTGCCCCAGACGCGGGTTCTGCACAATGAGCCTCGGTCGGATCCTTCCATTCTGGTTTAGGGTTTAGGGTTTAGGGTTGAGGGTTGAGGTTTTAGGGTTGAGGGTTGAGGGTTTAGGGTTGAGGGTTTAGGGTTTAGGGTTTAGGGGACGTGTGATGAGAAAATCTTGGATTACTTTGAGTACCCTAATGTTGGGAATGATGATATAATCTTATCCTTTTGGGAGCTTTTGAGACTTTACGCCCCGAAGCTTGAACCCTAAACTATGAGCTCTAGAACCCTGAACCCTCAACCCTAAACCCGGAAGCCTGAACCCTAAACCCGGAACCCTGAAGCCCAACTGCACGTCGAATAGCCCCCCCGATGCCGAGGCAGTGCATGCCGCCCGGGCAGCGAAGCGCCTGAGACAGGCTTCACCGCCGGGGAAGCATCGAAAGCTGAATCCTTCAAGCGGCTTAGGGTTTAGGGTTTAGGGTTCCCACATGGTTAAGGGTTTTAGGGTTTCCCACTGTGGTGCAATATACAAGCTCTGAAACTCTTGCAGAAAAAGCCAGTTTTCTTCATCGAAGCCGGCAACCCCAACCCCACAACCAAAACTTCTAGAACATCACCCTACCCAACTACGCAGCTGTATCACTAAGCCTTTTGCCATCCAGATTGATGCTGCTATTCTCGAAGATGGTGGTGAAGCTGAGTACATTGTATTTCATGGGTTTAACGATGCAGGAAACTGAAATGCATTTGCTGAGGTATGTTGACGCGGACAGCCTTGAGAATAGATGTTTGTTGCTGCGCCAACGCTCATGATCAAAATGGTGCTGCCTCCGAGAATGATGAAGATGATGACGGAGAAGCCGGGAAGGAGAAGGAGGAGGAGAAGGAGGAGGAGCAGGAGGCCGAAGGTGCAGGACGACAGCTGCGACGTGACTGCGACGACGACAAGGACGACCTCGACGACGGCGCGAATGCCACTGCCTCTACCAGTGCCACCGGCCCTGCCACGACCACCCAACACTGCAACTGCCACACGACGACCACGACCACGACGACCCCTGCTACTACTACCTACCACAGTCAAAAACCACTAGCTACTAGCGACTCGCGAGTACCTACTCGCGACTAGCGACTAGCGACTAGCTCTTGGCTGCTAGTTGCTAGCCACCAGCTGCTAGCTGCCACTATTATAGTTGCTGCTACTGCGACTGCTGCTGCTGCTGCTGCTGCTGCTGCTGCTGCTGCTGCTGCTGCTGCTGCTGCTGCTGCTACAACAACAACTACAACAACAACAACAACAACAACAACTACTACTACTACTACTACTACTACTACTCCTGCTGCTGCTGCTGCTGCTGCTGCTGCTGCTGCTGCAGCTACTACTACTACTACTGCTGCTACTACTACTACTACTACTACTACTATTACTATTACTACTACTACTACTACTACTACTACTACTCTTACTACTCCTACTACTGCTGCTACTGCTGCTGCTACTGCTGCTGCTACTTCGACTTCTACTTTTACTTCTATTTCTACTTCTACTCGCGCTCCTACTTCAACTTCTACCTTGACCAGTACCAGCAGTTCTGAAGGGTTCCTCTCTTCCAGTCGGCAGCCTCGGCAGTCCTTTTGAGGTTGCACAAGTCAATCGACCAATTTTTTGTTGCGTTTGCGTCCGTGCTTGGGCTCTAGGTAGCCTATTTCAATTTGAGAGACCCTCGAAAGAGCCAGGGTGTTCGGCAGTTTAGCAGCCGAAAGCTTCATGAAGACCTTACCTTAAAACCACATTACGTTATGAAATCAATTTTCTCAGCATCCTAAGAGTCCTTTCCATGCATCCGAGACACAAAACCCCCAATTGCAATCCTACAGCACCTAGCAGGACCTAGCAGGTGTTTTTTCGCCGTAGTTTTGGGTAAACGGGAGTTTACGGCCTGAGACGCTGAACCCTCAAAACCGCGCACTAAACCCCCAGTCTCGACAGTTTACACTTCAGTGAATCGGGTTGACGCTTCCTCGAAAACTGCAAAGCCTAGCGCCGAAGCTGAAGCTCAAGTCGCAGGCATCCCCCATGCATCTATGATAGCATTCATCCGTCCTTTTGCATATGGGTAGTTGTCAAAATTATGATCCCTTTGGGGGTACCCTAAATAGTAGGTGCCGTATTATAATAAGGACCCCAAAAAGGGACCATAATTTTGACAACCACCCATATCTGGCCATGTCATCAACTCTCTCGTCCGTGGTATGGAGTACGGAGTATAGGTTCTGAGCATCCGGTATCTCGTCTGGAGTATAGGGTATAGGGAGCGTAGAGGGTATGGAGATTGTAGAAAGCGTAGAGAGCTTAGAGGGTATATAGAGTACGGTGTAGCGTAGTGTGGTGTAGTGTAGTATGTTTGTATAGAGGTACTGACATACACACGAAAAGATGTGCACATCTAGTTTTGGGCCCTCGTTCTCATACCGGACTGTTCGGAGGGTGAGACGGTGAGGCGCAGCAGCAGATGATCAGATGGTTTTCTCGACTGTTTCAGAACACCTGGCAGTAGGGTCCTTGAAGTGCAAGCCCACCCGTTTTCAAGATCTCCTGGGCTATGGAGTACCATACTTTAATACTTTTTTTTGGGACCTGTTCCTTAACGGAACCATTATGAAATAAAAGTCTATACTTTTTCTCCCTGGCTACTTCAAAGCCCAGTCTCTGGCGTTCAACCGAGTCATGGGAACTGGCCTAAACCCTAAACCCCTAAACCCTAAACCCTAAACCCTAAACCCTAAACCCTAGACCCTAAATCCTAAACGGTTTAGGGTTTAGGGTTTAGGGTTTAGGGTTTAAGGTAAGCTTTCAGATCTTCCGTAATTTATTTAGGGACCCTATATTATATAGGTTTCTTGCAGGGTTCTACAGGGTTTTGTGGTGGTCTCTTGAAGCTTTTCCGTGCAGGTGGCTGCAGGTATTGGCTGCAGTTATTGTTTGTGGTCTTGTTGTCTCTTGTGGTAGTATTTGCTGCATGAGGCCTGTGGCTCTCTCATTAAAACCTAAAGTGCTAAAGCCCTAAACTCAAAGTCCTAGCACCCTCAAGCCCCAAAGCCCAATAATCCTAAACCCCGAAGCCCGAAAGCCCCGAGCCCTAAACCCCAATGCTTAACACCTATCTTCAACCCTAAGCCAAACCTCGCCATCTCTGGAGCAGCCTCTGATCCTTGCCATGCTTTGCGGATGCCCGCCTGCATCTACTGGTAGGCATGTCTAGATCACATGGGATGCTTTTAATCAACGACTCAAACCTGCATCTATAAACCCTAAACCCTAAACCCTGCTGCGTGGGGACCAGAGCGTGTCTTGAGCGGGAGACTAATGCAGTTGTCCGAACAGCTTAAAGGGACTCCTACCGAACCCTATAGAGCCGTGGAAGGGACCATTTAGAACATAGGGGCCTCAATAACTACCTATACTACTTTGTCATTATAATTATAGTATAATCTAGGCCCAAAATCCTATTCTAAACATTAAGGCCCCTACAGTGAGCTCTTCCAGGAACCCTCGCCGGAAGAATCCTTCAATGCATCGTTAACTATTGCCATGACAGTGAGGAAGCCAACCCTGCAGTCACAAGTTCGTAGAGGGTTTAGGGTTTAGGGTTTAGGGTTTAGGGTTTAGGGTTTAGGGTTTAGGGTTTAGGGTTTAGGGTTTAGGGTTTAGGGTTTAGGGACTTATAGCAACCCCTGTTGACCCCTCTAAAACGGTTCCTTTGTAAAGGAATCCTTTTTGGAAGGAACCCTTCTTAGTTCCCCTGTAGTGACGCTTCCAGAGCTTGCTCAGGCTTGTTCCCAGTTGAACCTTGCACCGGGCACTTCTCCAAGTAAGAGTACATTGTAGTAACTGTTAGCTTAGTATAGTATAGTATAGTATAGGATAGTATAGTATAGTATATTATTGTATACTAAGATATTATATACTATCCGGAGTCGTTGCTACCAGTAGTAAATGGACTTTAGTAGGACATGAAAGTAGGGTTTTGGGGGGACATGATGCAATCATTATACAAGGGCTATTGGTAGTATAGGGTCTTTGAGAATGACTGAAAGTAGCCCTAAACCCTAAACCCTAAACCCTAAACCCGGGACATTTTCGAAGTGACATTCGTTGGCCTTGGCGGATGCCTATGGGGCCTGAAGGGCTTATGGATGTTTTGGGTCTTGGTTTAGGGTTTAGGGTTTAGGGTTTAGGGTTTAGGGTTTAGGGGTTGAGGGGGGATGTTCAGGGTCTGATTTTTTTGGGGTTCCACCACTGTTAGCATCATCGTCATCATCATTGTCTCTGCTCGACGCTTCGGTTTGACGTGTTTGTCTTGGGAATGTATCAGATCTTACACATTGACATAGGCAAATGTACCCTCATTGGGGCTACAGGTAATTGAAGCTATTGGTACACATGATTTGCTACGTCCCTTCACAGGGTCTGGTGGAAGCAACTTCCAGCGAATATTCGGCTCTGTCCGTTAATGGTTTCGGGTTTGAGATTCTTTTCGAGATGTGCCTTGCATTCTCCGTGTACAGATTTTTTTGGTGCGGTTGGTACTTGATCGGAAGCCATCCGTTTTGTACATGGCATTTGCTTGCTTTGTTGCCTTGCACATAGATATCTGGGTCTGTTAATATTTGCAGTGACAGAAAGACAAGACCGCAGCGGGACAAAAACTAACGTGAACCACGCACAATACATGTACAGCAACAACAACAGCAGCAGCAACAATCTTAATATCAACAGCAGCAGCAAGAGCACGAGAACCACCATCGTGACGCACCTTACGACATGAGCAGGCAACACCCACTCCAACAGCATCAACAGCATCGACAGCAAATCTATCCACCCGCAGCCTCCGCGAGCTAGTAACTAACGCCATGTATAGCTGCGCCAGGAGTAGCCAGGTAGGCAGCAACCAATTGTGACATGAACGCGGATAATAGCAAACACTGCAGGAGGAGAGACCACAACTACTCCGACAACAGTAAGACTAAGCACAAGAGACGGTGTTTGCAGCAAGGGTTGGCCTTTTGCTGGAACAGTGGCAGCTTAGACGGATAACATGCTGTTCTGACTGTGACGCAGCAAGAGTGCTGCAAGATCTGCGAAAGTGAGACCAACAAAAAGGAAACTACGTGTAAAGCCGTTGGACTGCAAGGATGTGTTCATGGGCAAACAAGGCTACCACCTTTTCGGTGCTAGCGTGGGTGTGGTGGCAGACTCCTTGGAGGGTCATGGGACTTAGTAACTAGGGTTATAAATGAGGTAACTATAACTATAGCTCCAATTAGGGTACTTATAACCTTACTTATTAAACCCTAAACCCTAAACCCTAAACCCTAAACCCTAAACCCTAAACCGTAAACCCTAAAAACCCTA